ACTCTTAAAAAGGTTCTGTAATCACATATGTTTAGGAAATTCTCCCTGCTTTCCTTTTGCTTTTGGAGATGCAGATCATGAACATCAATTCCAGGAAGTCCAGCAGGAAAGAAACATCTTCAATTTTGTAAACAGATTTAACCGTGAAAGCTCTATATCAGTAATGCCTGAAAACAGCCTAGAAATCAGAACTAATAAATCATAATACCATTTAGGCAATGTTGATCTGGCATAATACCCTTATTTTACAGACTTTAAAAAAGAGTCATAGTAAAATATTACATTAGTGAAATAGCTGTCCAGGCCAGACACTCCGGACAGCTAGAGACTACAGAACCCAAGTTTCCCAGTTCTTTCTTCCCTGACTCAATCTCTGTCTGTAAGGCATTTAACCTAATCATCACTTCATAATTCAAAGTTTCCCTATCCAGGCTAAAATGCATTTTTCAAAAAGCACACACTGATATACATTTTTAGTATATCCAGAGCTTATCACCCTGCCAAAATTTCTCTAAGTGTATTCTTGTCTATAAAATTAAAACATTGTATCTGACAGCAAATAACCTGAGGCCTCTGTGATAAGTGAGACAGGGCCTGGGGCATTTTAGCCAGCCTCCCCTGAGACTAGGGTTATGACATCAACATCTCCATCTCATATAAAATCTCAGATATATTGTATTGTAGCAGCTCCCATGAAATTATCTTTAATTCCCAGTTTTAGATTTTAAAAAAATATAATAGAGCTTTTATGAGAGCAGTAGAGGCAGAATCCTTAATGAGGTAATACATGAGAAATGAATTCAGAAGGAAGATTTCTATGATTAGAGAAGTAACATGTCATACTTAATGTATGTCCCAGGAATTTATTATTTAAAGCAGGATTAGTAAAGCATCAGTCTGTGGAACTCTACAAGAAATTCGTTTCATAACTTTTCTACTATTCCTATCATCAGTAACTTAATTTTTCACACATGAGAAGTTCTCATTTAAATATTCTGAATATCTAAACCAATGTATTTCAATGACAAGAATATACTGTATATTTAGTATTCACAATATTCGCTTAAAGAAAATGATTAGAGCAAATTTATCAGTTTAAAAGATGGCCATGGTATTTAATGGCTGGATTTTGGGAAATGTGATCTGAAGTCCTACAGCAAAGTTTCTTAAGCCCAAAATAAAGTCATGAAATGTATGGGTTCAAAGAAAACAGAGATATAGAGCTGACTGTGTAAAATTCATATCCCAAATAAGAATAACCCTTACCTGAATGAAGTTAAAAGATTTCTTATATATTTTTATTTGACATAGCTCTCCTTTATTTCATATTGTGACAAAGAAGTGATCCGCAACTTCTTCAATAACCACCACCACTACAAAATAACAGCTAACACATCTAATGCTTATTGTGTGCAGGGCATAGTTCTAAGCACTTCCTATATAGTCACTCATTTAATTTTGATAAAAACTCTATGAGATAGTACTACTATTATATAACCCCACCTTACAGTTATTGAAACTGACACACAGAGTTTAAGTAACTTACCCAAGGCCAAACAGCCAGTAAGAAACCAACATAGATTGGATTTGAATCTTCAAAGTCCAGGTCCATAGCTACAATGTTAGAGTCTTTACTCTATACCAAACTCTATGCACAGTCCTTTGCTTGCATTACCTCATTTCGATATGCTGATTTAATTTTATGTTTAGGATAAAATCAACTGTAAACTTTTTTTCTCTTTCATTTACACATTTCTATGGTTTGTGAGTACATCCTTGAATTCATCAATAAATCTCTAATATGTTTAAAACCAACTGTGTTCCACCTGAAAAGTTAAAGCATTATTCTCTGTTTTGCCTAAGTAAAAAGGCTGTCTACTTTCTATTTCTCTAGCCATCTTGATTAAGCAGCTATGGGTCGTAAAGCAGAAAGGAGAAAGAGATACCTCAGGATCCAACTCATGCAATGAAGGAGGTACAAAAGAAAGGAAAGCAGAGAGATCTTCAAGGGATGGGTTAACAAGCCCTGTCTAACGACAGCCCAGAACCAACAACCCTTAGGATATGTCCTCTGGCAAGTGTCTGTGGCACAGCATGGTGTCCTTAAACTGAAAGGAACCTCTCTGTAGCATCAGCACCTAGCCTTCCTAAGTAAAAGTAGCCACTTCCACCTCACTGAAGCCAATCTTCAAATTAATTCTCTATTTTCGAGTTAATAAGAGGCATTCTTGCTAGACAATTTCCTTTCTTTATGCTCACAGATAACTATTCCGGTACAGATGCTCCAACAATTTTTTTGAAAATGGATTTTTCTTTTACATGTGGCATATTTATGAGAACTCTTGTATTGGATCTCTCTACTATGTATGTTTATACTGAAACTTGTCCTGCAGTGACCCTCTTTATGGTTTTCAGTAATATTTCATTCATTTCTCATTATTTATCTTCCCATCTCAAATCAGTTGTGATATTCCCAGACTTTGCATAATTCAAAGAGAGTGAAAATAATTCCTTTTGATTCTCTGAATTAATTCTTCTTCAGGAAAAAAAAATGTTGCTTTAGTTTAAGGCTGCTTCTTCAGTCTTCTATGAAATGAAACTCAAGGACTCTCAAGGATCTTCAATGAAAGGAGAGAACTCTTATCTATACTTATACTCCACCTTCAAAATTGCTTTTTGAGCAATGTTTCTATTTCTTAGTGATATATTGTCTCATATAATAATGTTTATAAAAACTATGGGAAAATATGGAAAATATTTGTTAAACAAAATAAAAATGTTTGTTAGATAAATAAGAAAATAATTCCAAAGCGTATACACAGCATAATGACAACTATGTAGGTGGGTAGATAAATAGATAGATACACACATATATACACTCTTACACAGGAAAAAATCAAGAACAAGTTAATCAACATTTTCTTGTTTGGACAATATGACTGTTCTTTTTTTCTTATACTTTTCTTCATTTTTCCACTATTTTGAATGAGCATATACTTTCAATCATAAAAAGAAAAATGGACATTTACTTTGTAGAATCCTTACAAACTTTACAAACAAAATATCGATTTCTTCAAAAGTACTGAGATTTCTCTGAATCTAGCCCTGCAGCTAACCAAACCTTCCTGACATTCTGCTTAAGTGGTTTGTCTTTACAAATGTATATTAGCACAGATGCATTCTTAATATAATTAGGTAAGCATATACATAGTGATTTTTTAAAATATAAATTAAGTCGTATCAACCCTTGCTTAAAATCTTCCAATTACTTCTCATTTGAATTAGAATAAGTAAAAATTCTTTACCCAGATCCACAAAGCCTAATAAAATTTGGCCTCTAACTACTTCTTCAACTTCATCTCCTGAGACTTCCCCTAAGGCACGATGGGGCAGCTCCTCTGGCTTTATTTGTGCTTTAATCTGCCTAATACAGAGATCTGCACATGGCTGGCCTCTTCCTGTCACTAGGTATCAACTCAAACATCACCTTCTCCACCCCAGGAGGCCTCCTTTGACTACACAATCTAATCTGCCAGCTATTTCTTGACCTTATCATTCATTTCCATCACCTTTAAAAACTTCTGTACATGGCATTTATTATGATCAAGACTTCTTGTTAATTTCTTCGCTTGCTATTGTTTGTTTCCCCTGCTAGAATGCAAAATTATCACCAATGTATATCCTCCTCACTTAAAATAGTATCTAATACATAGAAGGAAAACAATAAATATGTATCAAAGGATGACAACTGAATGAAAGGAGTGATCTAATAGTAGCTGTCCATGGTGCAAATTTTAATTTCAGGACATTTTTTTTTTTTTTTTAGAGACAGGGTCTCACTCTGTTGCCCAGGCTGGAGTGCAATAGCTTGATCATTCACAGTTCACTGAAACCTCAAACTCCTGGGCTAAAGCTATCCTCCTGCCTCAGCCTCACAACTGTCTTCACAAACAAACACAAAAGCAAAGCCTTCTGGTTTCTGATCTTACCAGTTTCACCAGTTACAATGCATCTAATGTAAATTGCTATATGCAAATAAAAGCAAATGCTGCTGGGGAAAGCCAACAAGTGAAGAGAATGTTCACAGGAGAGATGAGAATATAGAGGTTTTGCTTATCACAGACAGCAGGAATAAGAAAAGGAATGGGAATTGAGTCCGATGAGAGCAATAGAAGGGTGATGATAGCAGATGACATTGGAGAACTGGCTTCTAGCAGGGGCTGAGGCATGATGGGATTAGTCCAGAAATTCTCCTTGTGGAAAGTGGACACTTGGTTCTATGCTCTGCTCTGCCACATGTCAGGCAGTTTCTTATTCAGATAGCCCCCAGAGGAAAGGCTGAAATTAGGGCATTTCTGATCATCAATTAAAGGATTCTATAAAGTCTGTTATACTTATATTGACTATATGATAATCTGTTTAGTTCTATATCAAAATGGAATGCTTTGAGCTGAGAAAAACAGGTTACATTAAGAACTAATATATATATATACACATATATATACATATATATGTGTATATATATATTAGTTAAATATATAAAATATATATATTTTAAAATATATAAATATAAAATATATAAATATATAAAAATATATATATTTCTTATATATATACATATATATGTGTATATATATGTTTCTGGGCTAAATATACATTGCTAAAGTATAAAACAATGTAAGACTAAATTAAAAACTTAATTATCATATAACAATCAGACTCCAAAATAATACTTTTTCAATGTATTTTAGGTGGTCAGCTGCTCACCTGTTGTGATGAAAAATGGTACATCCAAGGTATATAACATTTTGTAATTTCTTTTCCACATTCAGGTGACAATGACAAATTGCTTGAGTTCCCTCCTTGTAGTCCCATCATCATTACATGTTTGAAAAATCAATATATCCCTTGCAGCTAAGGATTAGAAATGCAGCCCACATTCTTTCTCTTCCTTTTCTTTTGTCTCTTTCCGTCTATCCTACCAGTTCTTTTCGCTGTTACCCACCTGTTCTTTCCTTTCTATCTTTACCTGTTCTCTCCTTAAACCTGTATCCTACCTCATTCATGGCCACTCCCAATCCCTCACCTCACACTCAGCAAGAAGCAATTTTTTACCCACTTTTCTAGTAGATTAAGCTTCTAGCTACGAAGAGGATCCAGGGGTTGATAGACACAAACAAGGATGAATGAAAAACCATCCTTGGGAACTGGGGCTTGGCAAGGAGCAGGATAACAGGGGAAGAGGCATGTAGGACAGAAGGGAAGATGAGGACAGGGCCTGAGCAGCACTGGATTGCAGAGTCATACTGACTGAAGGGTCACAGTGCATTATCATCCCTAGGCACATAAACATGCCAGAAATAAAGGAAAAAACAAAGCTGGTTATATTTTTCATTTTTATGATTCTCTCTTCTAGTATAAAATATGTACTGGTCACTAATAGAGTGTAATAAAATAATAGACACCACTTTACCTTTTCTGCAACAAGTTCCCTTATAATCCCTGTTAATTTTACCTATTTTCAGGATACTATAGCCTGATAAATAGAACAAAATCTCAGTTTGGCCACAGAATCAAAACAAGAAATAGGACTCCTTGGAGTTAATTCAAATTAAATACAGCTTTATTTTTGTTGTTATGGTGACTGCAAAAATATAATGGATTAAATATTTATTGACAGATGCAGAAAATAACATAACATTTCATTAATACACACTCCACTAAGATGTTATTTGCCTTTTAATATTTATATATTAATGGCTTATTAATTAGTCATTTTTAGAACATTTATGTGATAGTAAAACAAAAAGTTGAATATGTCCTTTAGATATAATAAAGGCTAATGTTTATGATGTGCTAGGTTTTCTGTTAGGCACTTGACATTTGTCAACTCATTTAATCCTCACAAAACAATGTAGTATTGGAATTATCCTCATTTTATAGGTGTGGAAACTGAGGTTGATTCAGAGAGCTTGAGTATATTGCTAGTACGTGATAAAGTCAGAATTAGAACCCAGATTGCCAAAGACCCAGATTTACCAAAAATCAAAGGTGCCTTTTACGCTATTTCAGCTAATCTTCCTACAATGACACTGAAGAAAACCAGAATTCAACAAACATAGCCTGAGGGCCTACTGCATGCAATGCACACAGCAGAGTATGCACTGCCACACACATTTGTCAGACACAGACAGACTGCAATCTAAAAGAAGAGATAAAATATGTATATAAACAGCTATTAATAAAGGGTAGAAAGTCACATGTCAAAAATAAATTATTTGAAAGTTAAGAGAAAGAAGATTCATTCAGGTGGGGAGGATTAAATAAGACTTGAGGAAGGAAACAGCATTTGAGTTGGGCCTGAAAGTCTACAAAATTAACAATTTTGTACCCACTAGTTGCTCATTAACATTTGGAAGAATTACTCATCTCACATACCACAAAGGGTATCCAGGCATGCATCACTTAAGGACAGGGATATGTTCTGAGGAATGTGTCATTAGGCGATTTCATAATGCAAACATCATAGTGTACCTACACAAACATAGATAGTATAGCCTGCTACACACCGAGGCTATATGGCATAGCCCATTGCTTCTAGATTACAAAAAAATGCTAGATGCCAATTTGTAGGCAATTGTCTATGGATGCTTTTGGGCTACAATGGCAGAACTGAGTCATTGCAACAGAAACCATATGGTACTCAAAACCTCAAATATTGGCCGGGCGCGGTGGCTCACGCCTGTAATCCTAGCACTTTGGGAGGCCGAGGCAGGCGGATTGCTCAAGGTCAGGAGTTCGAAACCAGCCTGAGCGAGACCCTGTCTCTATCAAAAATAGAAATAAATTAATTGACCAACTAAAAATATATATACAAAAAATTAGCCGGGCATGGTGGCGCATGCCTGTAGTCCCAGCTACTCGGGAGGCTGAGGCAGTAGGATCGCTGAGCCCCGGAGATTCAGGTTGCTGTGAGCCAGGCTGACGCCACGGCACTCACTCTAGCCTGGGCAACAAAGTGAGACTCTGTCTCAAAAAAAAAAAAAAAAACCTCAAATATTTACTGTCTGACCCTTTACAGAGAAAGCTTCAGACCTTTGCCATAGGCCATTCATTTAGCGAATATTTATTAAGAGCCTGTAAGTGAAGGTAGCTGGCAGGTAACTAGTATAGGTTGTTGGCTAAAAGACTGCAGCTTCATTAAACCAAGTTAAAAACTAATCATACTGCACTGCATTCTTTGTTATAATTAATCATATTATAATGATTAATCATTCCATATACATAAAGAAGAATCTGAACAACTTTTGCTGTGGAAAAATAAGGGAGGTAACTTGGGATGAAATGTTATTAGGAGATACTCTGCCGTTACTACTTGTGCTACTAGTTAAAATTTATTGAACATTTATGGAGGTTAGACACTATTTTTTTTTTTTTTGAGACAGTCTCACTCTGTTGCCCTGGGTAGTATGCAGTGGTGTCATTGTAGCTCGCAGCAACCTCAAACTCCTGGGCTCAAGCGATCCTCCTGCCTTAGCCTCCTGAAAAGTTGGGATTATAGGTGCACACCATGATGCCCAGCTAATTTTTTCTATTTTTAGTAGAGATGGGGTCTCATTCTTGCTCAGACTGGCCTTGAACTTCTGAACTCAAGCGATCCTCCCACCTTGGCCTCCCAGAGTGCTAGGATTATAGGCATGAGCCACTGCACCAGGCCTGTTTGACATAATAAGTACTTAATATAAACAGTATATACCATTTATTCTTCCCCATACTGCTAGGATGTAAGTACTATTATTATCCTCATTTACAAATGATAAAATTAAGATTAAAAGTAATTAATTTCTGAGGTCCTGCAGCTTATATTTGTTAAAGCTGGTTCTTTACAGAACATGCTTTTATTCCTGGAGGTCTTAAAAAGGAATAGTGGTGTATACTTAAAAGGAGATAAAAAAAAAATAGCTACCATTGGTTGAGAGCCTATTATGGTCCTGGCATTATTCTACGTGTTTTAAACGCATTCTCTAAGTTTCATATCAACCCTTCAAGGTAGAAATAAGTGCCCTCTTTTACAGATGATAAAAAAGTAATAAATTATGTGACTGACAAAAGGTACATACTTAATAAGTTGCAAAACTAATGTTAAAACTTAGATCTACCTTACTTGTTCTATTATACCATGCTATTTCCATTTTTTAAAAATCCTAGGTGAAGAGGGAGGAAGCAAGATGGCTGACTAGATATACCACTGGCTGGATTGTCCCAGAGGGAAGGAAGGGTCTCAAGTAAAGGAGAGGGGGGAAAGGCACAGTTCAGGTGTAATTCAGAAGATGAAGTGCTGGAGCCTTCCAGGGACTTCATGGAGGGAAATTAAGAAGCAGAAGAGGAAGAAGAGAAAGAAAAAATGATATTGGCAAGGATCACACCAAGAGATGCTCGGAGCCCAGTGAGGGGGTAGTTGGGGTTTCTGTTTCTCCCTCTCACACACTCTCAGTAATTAGTGGGCTACCAACTCGCTTAGAAGCTTTTCCTGGATAATCCCAACTCTGAATTACACTGAGATGCCAAAGAAGGTTTATGAATCACATACCTAGTCTCTTCAACGAGCTCTCTCTGTGTCTGAATAATCTAATTTTTGATACTACTGGGGCACTAGAAAAATGTTATCTAGCCATGCCTTTGGCTTTTTCTCCACAACACACTTCTTGACAGAGAATCTACAAATTTTAGAATCTTTTGCAATCTGAATAAGTTAAGAATGACCTAATCATCAAGTCCTGATTTCTTTTATTTATTTATTTATTTTATTTTGGTGTATTATGAGGGTACAAGTATTAATGTTACTTATATTGCCCATGCCCCCCTCCCCCCTCGAGTAACAGCTTCAAGCATGTCCATCCCCCAAACGTTAGTTTAAAAGTTCTTCCCTCAATTGATCTCTTTCCTCTCACATTTCACTATAGGCAGCAAGAAGAAATCAGGCACATTTAACACTTCGTTTAGAAATCTACTCAGCTAAATAACCAAGTTTATCACTTACTAGTTCTGTTTTCTACATTACTGTAGAACACAATTCTGCTAGACTATCTGCTACTACGTAACAAGTATTTCCTTCCTCCGTTTTTCAGTAACTTGTTTCTCATTTACTTCTGAGTCCTCACCAGAAGCACCTTTAACATTCATGTATTTACCAATATCCTATGATGATTTAGGTATTCTCTAAGATAATACAATTTTTCTCTATTATTCTCCTAACTTTCTTCTTACCTCTCACCAGTAGTACCTTAAACATCCATGTTTATACAAACATTCTGTTGATGACACTTGAGGTATTCTTTAAGACAATATAGGTTTTCTCTATCATACCACTTCTTTCTGAGCCCTCACCAGCAGAACCTTTAGCATCGAAATTTTTGTTCAAGGCAAACTAAACATTTTCTATCATGCTCCTCAAAATTCTTCCAGCTTTTACCCAATGCCCAATTCTGAAGCCATTTCTATATTTTTACTTATTTGTTACAGCAGTACCCCACTTCCAGGACCCAAATCTGTAATAGCTTCCTACGGTTGCCATGACAAATTACCACAAATTTAGTCACTTATAACAACACAAATGTATTCTCCTACAGGTCTCAAGGTCAAAAGTCCAAAATGATTCTCATGGGCTAAACTCAAGGTGTTGGCAGGGCTGTTTCCTTCTGGAGGCTCCAGGGGAGAATCCATTTCCTACTTTTCCCAGCTTCTAGAGGCCACCTGCACTCATTGGTTCGTGGCTTCATCACTCTGACATCTGCTTCCACCATCAGGTATACCTTCTCTGATTCTGACCTCCTGCCTTTCTCTTGTAAAAACCATTCTCATTATATTGGGCCCACTGCACAATCTAGATAACACTCCCAACTCAAGATCCTTAATTTAATCACATCTACAAAGTCCCTTTGCCACATAAGGTAATGTATTCACAGGTCGCAAAGATTAGAATGTGAATATATTTGGGGGGAATTAATCTGTATATCATGACCATCTTCATTATTAACTGAATTCTGTTTAAGTAGTTTAACTATAGTTTCAATCACATAGTTTTTAACACTGCCCCCACTGATTGTTCGTCTTACCAAACTAACATTTTGTTATTTCCATATTTCAAATATTGATTCTTTTAAAAGTCTCAGGAAGGAAAAATTCAGTGACAGGATAAGATTGTATATTGAATTATATAATTCCCAGAACTGTTATTATTTGAATGATACTTTGATTCATTATTATTGTTTGGAGCAGTTCCGAAGTATTAATTTTATTACAAGGGCAAAAAGCTAAAGTCCTATCACAATATCATAATTATTCTGAAGTTGAAAGATATCTAAGGGATATTCTCAATATCCAGGATGAGAAAAATAAGGCCCAGAAAAAGCTAAATGATTAACTCAATGCTACAAACTCCAATATAAAGGAGGGAGAGCATAAATTTATTTTAAGAATACCTGATCTTGGCTTCCCGGGGAAAGGCAGCGTGAGGGGTAGAAGTTGTAGGGTTAGGGGGCAGGAGTGAGGAGGAGGGAAGAGAAAGGGGGAGGAGGCCGTGGTAGGGCAGGGCGGGGACTGCCTGCCTGGGTTGCGGAAGTGATAGCTGCTGATGGAGCCTGCTGCTTTCTCGCTACTGCTTCGGCTTCCTGTGAGGGTGACCCAGCTGTGGATGATCAGATAGCCCCTATCTCCCACGCCAATCTCTGGCCCCTACCAGCACGGAGCAGAGAGTGGTGGTGGCAGCAGCAGCAGGTGAGGAGGAAGATGGCTGGACAGCTGCAGGCCTGTGTGGTGGACTGTGGCATGGGGTATGCAAAACTAGAATATGCTGGAAATAGAGAACCACAGTTTATCATCCCTTCCTGTATTGCTATTAAGGAGTCAGCAAAAATGGGTGATCAAGAGCAAAGGAGGATGATGAAAGGTGTTGGTGACCTAGACTTCTTCATTGGTGATGAAGCCATAGAAAAACCTACATATGCAACAAAGTGGCCAATCCACCATGGTATAGTTGAAGATTGGGACTTGATGGAAAGGTTTATGGAGCAAGTGATTTTAAAATATTTAAGGGCAGAACCTGAAGACCATTATTTCCTTTTGACTGAACCTCCACTGAATACTCCAGAAAACAGGGAATATACTGCTGAAATAATGTTTGAGTCCTTCAATGTTCCAGGCTTGTCCATTGCTATACAGGCTGTTCGTGCCTTACCTAAACCTTGAACCTCAAGACAAGTAGGAGAATGGACGTTGACTGGTACAGTAATAGACAGTGGAGATGGTGTCATTCATGTCCTTCCTGTGGCCGAAGGTTATGTGATTGGTAGCTGTATTAAACACATTCCAATTGCAGGACAAGATATAAAATATTTTATTCAACAACGGCTGAGACCGAGAAGTAGGAATTCTTCCAGAACAATCCCTGGAAACAGCTAAGGCAGTAAAGGGGCGCTATAGTTATGTCTGCCCAGATATAGTAAAAGAATTTAACAAGTATGACACAGATGGGTCAAAGTGGATTAAACAGTATACTGGAATCAATGCTATCTCAAGAAATAATTTTCCATTAATGTTGGTTATGAGAGATTTTTGGGACCTGAAATCTTTTTTCATCCAGAGTTTGCCAATCCAGACTTCACACAACCTATCTCAGAAGTTGTAGATGAAGTAATTCAGAATTGTCCTATTGATGTCAGATGTCCCCTTTACAAGAATATTGTCCTCTCTGGAGGTTCAACCATGTTCAGGGACTTTGGACGTCGCTTGCAAAGAGATTTGAAAAGAACTGTAGATGCCAGGCTGAAATTAAGTGAGGAACTGAGTGGCGGTAGATTGAAGCCAAAACCTATTGATGTTCAAGTCATTACACACCACATGCAGCGATATGCAGTTTGGTTTGGAGGATCTATGCTGGTTTCCATGCCTGAGTTCTACCAAGTATGCCATACCAAAAAGGATTATGAAGAAATTGGACCTAGCATTTGTCGTCACAATCCAGTGTTTGGAGTCATGTCGTAAAATTGACTTCATAGTTATTGGGGTTAGGGAGGTGGGGAAGAGATAATCTTTCTGATTACTTGTTTTGTCTGGATGGCTGGTTTTGAGGTTTTAAACCTGACTTGAAATAGTAACACCAAACATTATTATACAAGAATATTTTAATAAGTGTATCAACATGAGATGTAGAAGGGAGTGGAAATGATTAAGTGTTTTTCTTTAGATTGAATATTGGAATCTTATGTGTAACAAAAAAGTGGGTTTTAGTTCTTTCTGTGCCCTGATATTTTGTGTATTAATGAATTATTCAAGATTTGATGGGATTTATCAGTGTGTAGATAGCTCTATAATGCTTGAATTGTATACTTCTAAGTGTGCAATGCAAGAGCTTGTTTATATTTCATACTTTTTACACTTTGAGGAAAAAATTCAAAGAAAAACTGTAGTATTTGAAGGGAGAAAAAAGTGACCAAGCAAAAGATAAATTAAAAAAATAGCCTCATGAGACTTGTCATAGACCCTTATAGGATTCCAGTTATTTTGAAGTGCTTTCATCCCCTCCACCCTTTTCCCCCAAAAGGTTTTCTTTGCAAGTGCTTTTGGAATTAAGAGCTAGTATCTTGGATTAACTGATGCCTGCTAGTGCTTTCTGATTACTCGCATTCTGTTTCTTGCTTTAAAAGGAAAGACAAGACTGTTGGACCAGTAAAAAAAAAAAGAATATCTAATGACTAATTATATGGAAATCTGCTTTAAGAGCAAGCATATGGAAAACTGCTGCATTTACATAAAAGGAATTCATTAATCTCAGTTTTAGGTAGATTTTTATTTAGCCATCTGAACTTCTCAAGTATTATGGCAAATGCTAATAAGGTAGTTTTCTGTAAAGTTAGAGGAATTTCAGATAAACCTCAGCAAATTCATGAGAATAGAGACTTAATTTGCTAGAATGCTACTCACAGTGATTATAAGGCCAAATAAAAGAGGTTCTACTGTTGTTGGTCTACTGGCTGGTTTGGAAAATCTGAAAGCCTATAGGCTCCACACGTAAGATAGTTTCCGGTTTCCCTGGGGACCAGTGCTCTAATGTGACCCTAAGATGATATCGATATGTCATATGTGTGCATGGTATAAAAGTGCTTTCATGAAAGTTAGCATATCTGCAAATTTTTTTAAAGCACCTAAATTAAATTGTGTCCAATGCTACCTATCTGGTTATTTAAAAAAAAAAAAATACCAGAATCATTGGATATTTTTAAAATGTTAGTTTACTAGATGCATGTTAGGCTTGTTGATTTTGCCAATTGCAAGATAAGTAACATAGACTCGAAGTGGAAATTAAGATATAAGAACTGTGGAAAGGCTGTAAGAAGTGTTATTGATATGTGAATAGGCATCTCAATAAATAAAAGAAAAATACTCAAATTATCAGAAATAACCAGACATTTCAATATGAAGGGAAAAAATTATGTTTGCATTGACCTATAGAACTAAAGACTCAATAACAATAGATGCATAAATATGTGTGCATATTTACATGTGTTACCATAATATTGTCATGTCCATAAAGATATTATAATCTTATTAAGTTGATAATATTTATAATAGCTGGAAAAATTTCTCAGAGCTTTTATTCCCCCAATACAATCTTATAGGCAAATAACAGAGCATGAATGTGATGTTTAAGGCTCTTTCCACTCTATAGCCAGAGCAATTTGAGGGTGAGTCAAAACATAAAATTTACTGTGGCTATAAAAAAAAAAAGAAAAAAAATATTGCTAATAAAAACAGCTTTATTTTCCCTGGTAACAGAAATAATTTTCCTAATAAAAATAGAAAGTAAAAAGAAGTAGTGGTCTGCTGAGCTGTGGGGGTGGGGGGTGAGGGGTGAGGAGCAGAGTGGAGAGGACAGTGCCCTTGCCCCGAGGGAGGGGCTGCTGGGTGACAGAGACAAAGGGGTGTGTGGCGGGGTGGGGTCACAATGGGCAGAAGAGGATAAAGGGGTCCCGCGGGGTGGTTTAGGCGGAGGTAGACGCTTAGGTTTCGGTTTCAGAAGGAGAGTGGTGGGATTACGATAGGCAGTCGAGGTTATGGAATCGAAGGGCAGGGGCTGTTGGGAGCTAGCCATCAGGCTCAAGCGGAGGCCCCTCCTGAGTGAGCACCTACACCTGGGCGCCCCGGCGTCTGCCGGTGCCCGGGTCATCTGCGCCCGCCATGGCTCCATGCTCTAGGCAGGGCATGGTCTGGCTCCAGGGACCCGACTGTCTCTGGCACTGAGCAGTTGATAATCAACGCCCCGCCCTGTCCTCAGTCACTCAAGGACAGAAGAGCTTGCCGAACGCGACTGCTTGCCCACCTGCCAGAGAGGCCAGGGAAACAGGACACCTTGCAAAGGTGTGTTAAGGAAGGTGTGGAACTATCTTGGGAACAGCCATGAACGACCAGTTTATGTTGCCGTACTATACCGCCCAAAGCAGCCCTGCAATGGGCATGTTTAACACTCCCATGGGGAAACTGCAGCGACAACTGTACAAAGGGGAGTATGCTATATTCAGGTATGCGCCAATGTTCGAGAGTGACTTTATCCAGATCAGCAAAAGAGGGGACTTGATCGATGTGCACAACCGAGCCCGAATGGTGACAGTGGGCATCGTCCGCACCAGCCCCGGCCTCACACTACCTGATGTCATGCTGCTGGCCCAACCAGCTGCTACCAATGGTGACAACAGTGCCAGGTGTGGCCCAGCCACCCAGAAAAGAGGCAGTAAGCCTACACAGATCTTAGAGCTGACCAGGCTGTTTCCCTTGAAGTTTGTAAAGATAACCATTCATAACAGTATAAAACAACAGCTCCGCCTGAAGCTTATCACTGGCCGCTCTTTTTACCTTCAGCTGTGTTCCCCTTCAGATACAAGAGATCTTTTTGTTCACTGGGAAAACCTTATTTACATCCTGAGACCACCAATGGAGGCTTACAGCGGCCCCCAGGCCATGCTAGATGGGAACACATTAAGCTATGTGTTTGAGGAAGAGCACCCGAGCCCAGTGGTAAGTCTTTGCAGAGACTAGAAGATGGGGGGCCAGGATGCTTTGGGGAGAGCAGGTAAAGGTCCTGCAGAGCACATTGCATCTGGAAGGTGCATTGTGCAAAGTGTGTTGCATCTGGAAGGGCTCAAGGCCAAATGAGCTTCCATTTGGAAGCTATGGCACATTGCAGAGGTTCCTAGGGCTTCTCCAAAGTGTTCCCTAAATCTGACTTCAGAGTCCTTAGCTGTCATCAACTCTTAATTTCATATCCAATGTTGTGATGCTGTCTATAATGCACCCTGACCATCCGATCTATTCTTGAACAAATACTGCTTCAACCTAGGTAGGCTGATATGTTGTGGAACATGTCTCCCTGTGACTGTCACTCATATATGTTAGTGGCAATGCAGCATGCTTGTGTACATGTGCAATAATTTCCTCTTGTTGTTTAGCTATAGGAAGAGAAGGGAGACTTTGCTGGTCTCACTTTGTTTACTTCATTTATTTTTTCTCCTCCTAGGCATATGCCATGAAATTCTGTGGCAGGAAAGATCAATTCAGCATCATGAGACTTCGCATGAGCACTGAAGTGTCTGGGGCTACCTATTTCAGTTATGGAAGGCAGACGTGAATTCAGCATGCCTCCCACATATACTATGTTTATGAGTTCACACACTACTACAGTCACATAACTTATAAAGAGACAGTGGTGGCAGCAAGAGTAGTGGTGACAATAAGCGCTACTGCAGGTGCCATGGATGAGGCTGTAACCAAGTCCACAGACTCAGAAGAGAAATACAGCACTAGCAAGGGCACCCTTCAAAGGCCCAGGAAGAGGCAAAGTCTGCATGGCCAAAGTGGGTGCTTCCAGTATGTCTTAACATTGTTCTAGTGAGGGCTGCAAGCACATTCTTGTCATCAAAGGGTTCTTGGAGCACATCATCAAGAGCTGCTGGCCTCTCTCCAGAGGGCAGCATGAGTGTGGTGATTGCAGGAGCAGAGAAACTACTACCAAGGCTATTGCAAAAACAGCTGAAGAGTCAGTATCATGACTTCCTCATCTCAATCTTGCAGAATGAAAGCCACATGAGTGAACAAGATGGAAGCCAGAAGGTCTCCACCCGGCAGAATTGACTCTTTAGTAAATAACCTCAAAGCCCAAGACTACACATGGTGCAGAGATGGACATCTCATCTAAGACCATGGAGGAGGGTAGTATCATTCACCATAATGCAATCCATCAATTCAAATTCTCTTCTCTGGAAACATATGCTCTACTAACAGAAAGGGTAGCAATAAAATTAATGGCGATTTATGATCAGGCTCTGAAAGATCTTTAACTTTCCCTTAACTAGATACTTGTGATTAAATGAATAGATGACAAAATAAAATGTGGAAGATTACTCTTAAAGATATGATCCTATATTAGAGCCAAAGAGAATTCTTCTAAAACTTCCAAAATATATAACCAGGGTCAAAAACAACAAATAGTAAATAAGAAAGTGTAAATGAAGGCAGGAAAGCAGCATGATATTATAGTTTTTAAAAATCCAGGTTTGAATCATAGCATTGCCACATATTAATTGTGACTTTGATAGATAACCTGTTTCCCCCTTTAAATGGTTACCTTGAGAATTAGAAATATGTGTGCAGTATCTGGCACATAGTAGGTACTGTGTAAATGATAGTGTCAAGAAACAAATTTGAGTTTAATCATACTTTCTAGAAAGGTCTCTTCATTCTTGACTTCCCTTCTAATGCTTTGCCCAACTTAAATCTTAATTAACTGCTTTGAAATTATTCCATAAACGCTCTACTTACAGGAAATCTTCTTAGTATTTTCCAAGAATTTTAATCCCCTGATGTTTTTTAGAATTCTAAATTTTCATGAATTTGAAAGGAATTGCTTCTTATAGAAACCTCAATCTAGTCACAATGGAAAGATAAAATGCCGTATAACATATTCATAAGCATAAATTCAAAGTACCCATCTTTTAGCCTGTTCATTCCAATTTTAGTATTCTTAGAGGCAGAAAAAAAAAAACCTAAAACCTGCATATAGGATCAATTCAAAATCTAGATAAAAACTGGAAATTAGATAATTTTAGAATTGTAAGATCCATAGGATTAGTCAAGTTTCTAATTTTGCAAGTAAAAAATCTGTTTGAGTCCAAAAGTAATATATCATATAGTTTGATAACCCAGAGCCATAATGTATAGGTTACCTGGCCCCTAATTAAGTCTATATTCTTTCCATAATACTCACATTTCTGAAGCTTAGCACTGTGCTTTGAATATAAAAAATACTTGACATACGTTTGCTGGATCCAATTAAATTAAGGATTATAAATGTGAAATATAATTTATTCCAATCCAACAAATCTAGGTACATAGATTTACATAGCACTGTGCTAATTGCTCTGATCCTGAAGACTCTTATAAAGACTATAAGGAAACGGTTTTTTCATTAGACTCTCACAGTGCTTATGGCTTAGTGATTTTTAATGGCCTCCATGATGCTTCAGACATGAAAAATGACTTCAAAAAGTGAAAAAAATTTATAGGCTGGATGTTCTAGCTTTGCAAATTCCAAGCTTATATTACTGAGAAATCATATCTAATCATAACATAAAATTACTTTAAGGCAAATAATTTCAAACAAATAACTTAAAAAAAACCCTTCATATTTTTGCAATAACAATTGTTTCAAGTGGTATGTAGTTTCATTTTAATACATTTCATATGATGCTGTGGATTCCCTCAGAGGTTTTAAAATGATCATACTGTAAATTCTTTGCAGGTAGGGACCAACTTTATGTTTGTATTCAAGCATGCTTACCACATTGCAGTCCCTTGATAAGCACAGAATGAATGATTATTAAAAGCATTGCACATTTTGTATTTCTTTTCTAATATATATAAATGACATTTGTCTGACTCAATCTCTCCCTAAATTGTTTATTCTCTTGGTAAATATTGTTTCAATTTGCTTCTAATTACAAATCCTTATGCTCATTACCAACAGATCTCATTTTACTAGGTCACAGAGTTTTCTTAAAATTCTAACACAGGACATATCCTCTCACTTCATATCTTTTAATCAAACAGTTTAAGAGAGAGAGATTAAGTAAATTAAGAATAAATAGTAGAAATAGTTTTAAAAATTACTATTTGTGAATGGTTGAGAAGGGTTGATTCATATGCCTTGAAAGCCTAGGTAATAAACTAAAAAATTAGAGAATTCAGAAATGTCACAAATTGTGTGTATATATATATATATATATATATTTATGTATTTAACTGCAAAACATAGAAATCCTTCAATATAGTTTTGTAATATATATGTGTGTTACATATATACACATAGAAATGCTAAAGGAGACCCCATAAACAGTATTATTCTCTCTCTCTCTCTCACACACACACACACACACACACACATTCTTAGGAATTTATAGTGAGAAGAACGTTAGTGAAATAATCCTATTGCCGGTTTGTTAAATTAAATCCAGTAAAAAAGCATACTGCATCTCAAGTAAATTTATAGATTTAACACAGTAACAACTAAAATCCAACAGTGATACTTTTTAAAATCAACATAGTGATTATAAAACGTAGATTTTAAAAAGCAAGCAACCAAGCCAGCTAATAGTTTTAAAGTAATAATGAATAATATCAACAGTCATGTGGTTAAAAAAAAAAAGAAAGCAGAAATAAACAAGGCTTCACAAGTAAATCCCAAACAAACAGGATGAAATGTAATGAGAGGAATATGAGTTATTGTTCAATGGAAAGTCACAGGAAAAGTAGAGATCAACAAGTGAAAAACAGTATTGAGCCATATCTGGAATTTATGTTAAAAGGAATTCCAGATGAGATGAATTAAACAAAAAAAATAGGTCTGAGAAGCTTAAAATGAATCTGATAGTTTAAAAAAAAACTACCTGACATACTTGCATATTAAGACAAAAAGAAAAGCCGAAGATTGGAAAACATTTTATGGTAAATGTAACTAGAATATCTGAGGAACTAATAAATTTATTGACACAATTTCAATCTTCAAAGAAAAATAGCCAAAGGAAAAAATCTAATATTAATAAATTATAAACCCAAAACAAGTTACTACCAAGGATAATAACAAAATTAAGTTTAAAAAAATAAACATTAGTAAGGTGGTGGACAATCAAATATAATCATATTATTGATGGCTTTTTGATTAGAAGAACAATCTGGCTCTTAAAGTAAGAGCCCTGATAACTTTATTTTGTTCCAAAAATTCTGCTTTTTAAGACATTACATAAAGCAATGATTTAAAAATGTATTTTTACAAAGACATTAATTTTATGAAAGGAGGAAATAGGTTAAAACCTTCAATTACTGTTAAACTGTTCAGCACATGAGGATATATTAATAAAATAAAACTTAAGCTTGTTAATTTCCTTTCCCTTTTACCAATATAGAGATGAGATAAAAATCTATTTGTGAAAACATTAATTGTTGGCATGAAACCCTAGAATATGCACATTTGTTCATGGATTCAGTCATGTATTACTTAATTCTAACTATTTACCAGGAACTAGGCTGGCATTAGACCATACATGTTAAGCATCAAAAGTTTGAACCTCCACCTTTATGAAACTCATAGTCCAGTATATAATGACAACAGTTCTGTAAAGGTTAGGATAAACTGTCTTAAAAGTCCTATGAAGAGATTTTTTAAGTACTATACATTGATTTGAATATCCTATTTAGCTTTCCATAATAAATTACTATTGGAATTTGAGTGGCTATGATCAAATTACGATACGGCCATGTGAAAAACGTGATGGTTTCTTATTGTTGCAAAACAGAAAAAATATTTCTGAGATATAACACTTCTGGATAATTACTGTGAATCTTTTTCTATTCTAGACTGTTTTTTCCAAACATATTCTATATAGTTAACCTTCTAATACTATAATCTTTCATACTAAGTTTTTGTTCATCTTGTGCAGAGATATTTTCATACAGCTTCAAGTTTCCTAACTATGGAATATTCTACTCATTTCTGAAACTGCTCTAAGGGCTTATGGTACATAAAACACAACAGGAATTTAAAGGTGATACCTCAGAATTAAAGTTGATTTAAATAGTGAAATGATTGTAAACTTATGGTCAATGGTTTAGTGTTCTGGTTTCATTTTTGGATTGTACTCTAAAATCTTCAGTAGTCCACATTCACATTATTCTACAATGTTCCACTGTGCTGAGAAAAAAAAAAATCACTGGCTATGATTTTAAAGAATCCTAATATATTTCCTTGTAACTTTATTACTTTTAATCACTTTTTAAAAATAGCATTCTTTAAAATGATATACTTCAGGTTCATAAATATTAAAACCTCATAAACAAAATAATTTTACTGCATAACCAACTAAAAAAGTTAAAATTCCACAAATTATGTCTTTTCATATGCACATACATGCCCAGCAAGTTATAAGTCCATTTTACTTGATACTTTAATTGAAGAAAAATCACAAAGTGAACCAAATACTAATTTGAGTTGCAGGGGGGCGGAGACTTAATCTTAAAAACACAGGTGACCATTTTTATATTTTATTGTACCTTAATAAAAGCAAACCTTTACCTGTGCAAGCATGGGGAAGCCAAGGTTCCTACATCCATTGCAAGGAGTTAATGCTTCCCAGAGTCCTGAGGGCCCACAAGTGTTTTCATCATCTTCTTCTTCTTCCACTTCTCCTGGTGACAAATTTATGGTAGATGAGGTTCTCTGAAATTAAATTTATATTATACCAATATATTATGTCAATGTTATTTAGATATCTTAACATCAATTAAATCACATAAACTACTTGTGGTGTAACTTAGCAAACAAAAGTCAGTTCACTTCTGGCCATAGCCATTGTTAATGGCTGTGCCATGAGACTGAGCCAAAAATATGCACAATTCAATTTAAGTTAAAAGTGAAAACACGGGTGATAAAGACATGCAAAATAAGATATGAAGGTCATAATGAAGAATAGAACCTGATAATGACTCAGGAAAATATCTGAATAGAAACAAATGAGAAAAATCTTATGGTTTATCAAGAATTTAGGCATATGCATAAATTAAGGAAAACTGTAGTCAGAGGACTAACATGAAAATACTTTCTTGAAAAAGGAATTGCTAAGATACCTATTTTGTTCACAATGCCACCAAAAGCAAACTGCATAAAATTTTATATCATACATATAACAGGGATAATACTTTCACAGTTCATAATGGACTTCCACGTTGAATGTGAATATTGTTACCTTCCAAATCCCACTAAAGTCACAGTAAGAGATTTGTAAAAATGTTTAAAATATAAGGACAACAGGAGAGGTGCTAGCAGATGAGTGGTATCAAGAAGCTTTCAGATAACGATGGCTAACTTTGACTAACATACGGGTAGGTATTACCTGGTTTGGCAAACTTGAGAACACTAAAAGCAAAGTGCTTTCATGGGGGAAGTGGAGGGACTGGCTACCTGAGAAGGTGCAAGTGGGGCTGAAACAGGAGGGGAACACAATCTCAGAAGGAATTAGACCCCTAGACTCATCTCCTTTTCACCCAGCCAGGAAACTAAACCTTCACCACTAGCAAGAAATTAGAGCTTCATTTTCTGGGGAAGTTAAAAGAAACAGATTATGAATTCTAAGAATCCATATAAGCAGAGAAGTACCTCTCTAAAAACAAGGGAATTAATATCTATGTAGTAAAGAAAGATTCCCAACCCACCCAGTACCTTCCTATATTTGCCTTAGGGAACATGGCAGGCTTATATCCCCCAAGTAGACAACTAGAATATGCCTCTCTGAAGAAATGGATTTCTCTCCCAAAAAGAGATCTATCTATAAATAACTAGGAAAACAACGGGGTCTATGTCTTAATCCCTGCTGTGAGGCCCACCTCTGAAGCTCTGCTTACACAAACAGTTCCTAATGTTTAAATAATAACCACATATTTGAGGAAAGCCTCTAACAGAGACCAAAATAAATATTTAAAAACATTACAAATAGTATTCACAGAGAGATAGAAGATATTTGCATCCATGAAACAAGAACAGAATGCTATAAAATAAATGAATATATAAGATCCAATAAGGGTTAGAAAATAAATATGAGTAAATTTCTCCAAAGATAGAACAAAGATAAAGAGAGATTAAAAGTTAAGAAAACTAGGAGATCAAACCAAGAGGTCCAACATCTGAACAAGAGTTCTAAAAATTAAAAGAGATTAGAGATGGGAAGATCAAAGAAATAAAGCAAGAAAGTTTGCAGAAACTAAAGAAAAATTCCATATTCTAAGAGCCTGCTGAATGCTTAGCAGACTTAATATTTTTTAAAAAAGAGACACACATGTATAAATAAGAAAGAGAATAAGTGTGTCTAAAAACCTTCAGAATGTGGTATTCAGTACAACCCTGATAGACCATGATTACTGAAGTTAGCAAAGATATTCTTTACATTGAAATGTGACTAGCACCCTCCTCCCGAATTTGTTGCTTTAAAAAAATAAGATATAAGACTTTCTTTTTCCTGTTTAAAAGAACTTGTTTTTTTGCATTCACATCTTAACTTTCTCTTTATCAAAAATCAGTAACTAAGAAATAATGAAATTAAATATTTTTTTCAATTAGTTACTATCTATAAAATATAATAACACCTGCATTATACTGAGAACTTACTATGTGACTTGGAATGTCATAGAACTATTGCTCATTAATTATTTTAATTCACATAATAGCCTTTTGAGGCTAATATTTTTCCCCTCATTATGTAGATGAGGAAACTAAGGCACAAAGGATCATGAAAATCCCAAGGTCACAGAGCTGGTAAGTGGCAGAAAAAAGATTCTAACTCAGACCACTAAACTGTAGAGCTCACTCCCCTGTAACCACTTACTATGTTCCATGACCTCCAATTTGACACAAGATCTCATAAAAGACAGTATACTGAAAAACCAAGGTGATATAATTGCAGTTTAAATAAGAGAGGTATATTTGTTGAGTATGTTTTTGCTGTATGATTATACTCCTGAGAGCATTTTGCCATCTGTGACAGCCACTGCAAATTTCTACAATTTGACACATAGCAACCCATACTTTCATAAAGACACATTTCTCAAGTCAATAATAAAAGGTGATAATCACAGAGATTTTTGATCTTACAGATCCTCTGGGTGAAAAAATCGTGAAAAGTCCAAAACCTTAATCTAGCAAGAGAATCTATATATGTGATCAAACAGTCCACAAGAATAAAATGATCAAAGAGGCCTCTTTTTCACCAACTCATGATCAGCTGACATGACAAGGTGCTATAAACCATTATATACTTGTCTAAGAACTATTAACATTTCATAGATTAATCAGTTCTTTTATATTTCGTTAATGGTACTTCAATTACTTAATCCAATCATATGAGGAACTTCCTCCATCTCTTTCTCCTCCTCAAAGAAAAAATTTATGTCTCTTCCCTGCTCTTAAACCTCCAATTATTTCCCATTGCACAGCAAATAATATCCAAATTCCTTAATTTGGCTTCAAGGTTCTACGGTGAAACTATTGTTCAGCCTTTTTTCTTGGAAGGCAACTATGCTAACCACTATATCACCAACACATCAGCCCTTTTTCTTATTCCATTATACTCACCCCAGATTATAACCAAGTGGAACTATTTACCCTTGCCTAATCATGCTCCATGTTTGTGGAGCATGGATATGCCTTCTGCCTTATTTGTCTGCACAGGATAGTGTAGTGGTTGAGAATTTAGTCTCTATAATTAGTCTTGGATTCAAGTTCCAACTGTTCCACTTATTAGCTGTATGATTTTCAGTACATATGATCACTGTCAGCCTCACTTGCCTTATCTATGCAATGGAAAATAATAGAGTAGAACTTCCTCCAGGTTTTTTTTCCTGATAATTAAAAGAGGTAATAAAAATAAAGTACCTGACATATAATAAGGTTTCAATAAATATTAACTATCATTTTCCCTATTATTTTCTTATAATCCCACTGATTCAAAATACAGTTCAGATTTCATCCCCTACATAAAATTTTCCAGATTTCACACAAACAGAAATGATTCAATCTCTTCTGAATGTCCATAGTTCTTTTGTGAGTGTGTGCATGCTGGCATTTCGTGTACACCTTGAGATGGTAGATGGCATAGTGGGAAAAAGCATTCTTTGGCTTTGAAGTCAAATCAACACACACTAAGTCTTAGCTCTGCCACTTCTAAGACGTGTGACTTGTTAGCAAATCCTATAATCTTATTAATCCTCAGTTTTCTCATCTGCAAAGGTAGGTATAATAATTCATGTTTTAAGGGCTGTATGTGGATAAAATTAATTACTTGACAGTGATTGGCACATAAAAATAATCAATAGGTACTGCTATTTTTATTATTATTTTTATCCTGAAAGAGTTTTATACACACACACACACACACACACACACACACACACGTGGTTTACTTACCCCAGCTAAGTAAATTATTTGAAAGAAAATATTGGTGCCTTATTCACATTTGTATCTCTTATAATGTGTTGTGCATAGTGAAACAAATATTTATTGAATGAATTATTGAATGAATGAACTTCAAATTATCATTTTCATTTGAATACTTAGAAAACTTTACTAATATTAAAGGGTATATACAATTGTATCACAAATATCATGATTGCTATTTTAGTTTTATTTTATATTAACCATTACCAGTAGCTTTAGCAAAAATGAGGAAGTTTATCAGTGGTTTAGCACTGCCCCCTAAAGACAGTACATAAATTGGCTGTGTAAAACCATAATTTTTAACTTTATTTCTTTACAATTAAAGATGTCTTGAAAGGATTTTATCAAACTAATTTTCAATTACATATAGGAAGGAAGCCACATGAACACACCTAAATTTGGAGAGTTTATTTCAAATGCCTTTTAAACTTTTTATTGGAGTTCCAACTGTGTCCCTAAAGTTCCCCCCAAAATATGAAAATTCTTTTACAAAGAACAAGCAGACATAAATCTATATAGTTTGAGACTATTTGCTTTCTTGGTTATTACATGGTAATAACGTAGAAGAAAGATTGTACCAATTCTATATTGTTGCAAATGAAAAAACAGTCACAACACATAAATGCCATGGGGAGACAAATTGGAGCTCAAAGAAAAACATTTTCAAGAATAATTATATCAGCCTAATTTTGAAGAAATGTAATTTCCTTGTGAGGTAGTGTGTGTGTGTGTGTGTGTAATTATAGTAAGCACCATTGTATATAATGGTGCTTAAAATTTATAAAATGCTTTTGGATATAGAATAGTCCAATAAAGTAGGGTAAGGATTATTATTAAAAGTGAAGAAACTGATGCTGAAAATGTTACTCAATTTGCAAGATCATTCTAAAAATGAGGCCAGATTAAAATCCAAATTCTCAAACTCCAGGTCCTATTATCTCTCTACCACACCATGAAGCAATTTGCTAATTCCTATTACCAGAACTCTTCAAAGGGTAACGGAAGTTCAAGACTTTCAATACATTCAGCAAATATCCTTCCAGACTTTGTACCCTTGTCCGATGACTTTATCAGGGTAAATTCACAAATAATCACATATATATCAAAGGGTAACTGTATACTCATTTTAAACTTTGTACATATTACCAATGTGGTAACCTATTCTCTACACAGTAACCAGAGAAATATTTTTTCATGTGAGAATGCGATCATGTTACCTTCTTCCTTAAAAACCT